ACAGGGAGCAGGGGGGTTGGATGTGGCAGGGGTCCCGGGGGGCCATCAGGGAACGGGGGGTTTGGATGGGACAGGAGTCCCGGAGGTGGGCCGTCAGGGGGCGAGAAACAGGGGGGGGGTAGATAAGGGGTGGGGGCCGGGCCATGCCCCCTTCCCCTAACCGGCCCTCCATACAATTTCCCAAACCCGGTGCAGCCCTCAGGCCAAAAAGTTTGCCCGCCCTGATCTAGCTTATAGCTATCTATTAATGATGCAACGAGGTTAGTAGATGAGCGCAATCTAATACCATCACAGGCAAACCTACTACTGCCTATAGCCAGTGAAAATGGGTTCCTTCCATTCAGTGTCCAATAATAATTAGAACTAATTGGAAAATGGAGGGGGTCAACAGAAAATTTTGACTTTTTGTAGGAAAAATCCTTGATTTTTTTTGTTTAATTTTTTGGCAATACTTTCTGCAAAAATTTTCATTTAGGTAAAATCCAATTTTTCATTAAAAAAAGTTTTGATGGAAAATTTTCAGCCAGCCCTAATAATCCTTAGCATTTACATACTTTAGTACTTTACAAACAGTATCTAACAAACCATCACAATATCCTTGTACAGTACAGGTAACCATTTATATTAGTGTCTAGCCCCTAAGAAACCAGGAGACCTATAATGTTTGACGTTTACCAGCACTTCATATGCAAAGTAGGTAAATGAATTATTACAGTGTATTATACCATAATTTTTATATTTTTGAAAATTAATTGCCATAAAGAAAATCCACATGGCATTGTTTCCTATATAGCATCCTATAGCATTGTTGGGATTGTGATGCTTGGTTGCCTCACACACGGATTTATCTGAAACATGACAATACAACATTTGAGAGACAAGGTGGTTGAATATGACGGGATCTCTGGGGTACAACTTGGAACTGTGGGTTCCCCCTTAGCTTTCCAAACTGGGCTGTCTCTCACAATGCTTTGCTAGTGATAAGCAGTAAACCCCTCCAGGTGCGGTGATCGCTCAGCCACCAGCATGCAGAGATACACTCAGCTAAATTGTTTGAATGTTCTCTAAGCCACTCAGGAACTATATAGAGGAAAACACTAGCAAATCCCCTTTGGGAAGAGACCTGAAGAAGAGCTCTATGTAGCTCGAAAGCTTGTCTCTTTCACCAGCAGAAACTGGTCCAATAAAAGATATTACCTCGCCCACCTTGTCTCTCTAATATCCTGGGACCAACATGATTACAACACTACTGCATACTATATTTGAGGAGGCATTTAGAGGCAGTTTTTCCCTCCGCATAGTAGCTAGGAAGTAACTTGTGTGAAAGCTTCAATGCTTTGTAGCCCCCTTTGAACAGTACTGAGTGAAACCATCTGCAGAACCTTTCTTGTGGTTATGTAAAATCCCCCTGTGTTACATTGGTCACCTTTCCTTTTCCAGTTACTTTGAAGCCATGTTCCGTTCCTTCATGCCAGAAGATGGACAAGTAAATATTTCTATAGGTGAAATGGTTCCCAGTAAACAAGCATTTGAGTCTATGCTGCGATACATTTACTATGGTGAAGTGAACATGCCTCCTGAAGATTCCCTGTATCCTTAAATCTACTGAAGTCTAAGGTCTGTAGATGCAATTGAAACAGACACTTTGCTATGGATACTTTAATTTGATATGTTGGGCCTGATTCTGCCATGTCATTCACCTGGTGTCATCATTTACACCTGTGCAAAGTGAGTGAAAAAAATCTGCCAGACCAGAAGAGTAGCATATTACACCTACTCTGCACTGCTTTAAATGCCTTCATTGTGAGGGTGTGAAGAATCAGGACCTTCTACAGGACCATGAAACAGTTCAGCTGAGTTAAACTATAACTAGTGTTATGATTTTGTCATGAAATTTTTAAATACATTTCATGGCAGAGGTGCTGGAAAACAACAATATGTCACAGAAAGAGGTTAGTGGGAGGTGGAGAGTGAGCCCACCCCACACTCACCCCACAATGGCAACTCCTGTCCTGTGGGACTGGGCCCAGCTACCCACTCTAAGTAGGGGTCACAATGTTGCATAGGTTTGAAGCGTCCATGCTGCTATATATGGAGATGGTGGGGCAGATGGAGTGATGCTGTGATCCCATGCACAAGTTTGCAACACCATTTGGTTTGAGCACATTTAATTTGGTTTGGATGGCATTTGATGGACTTAATTCAAATTCATGCTTTCTGTGACCATCATGACAAAATCATAGCCTTAATTATAACTAGCCAGGGACTTGAACCTGGCTTTCCCATGTGAGTGTCAAGACCACTGATCTATGCAGTCATTTTCTCTCTTTTCCTGACCTAATGAATATTTAATTATACAAAGTGGAACAGCTCCAACAGGACAGCTTGAGAAATACCTACCCCAAAATATCCAATAGCCTGGCACTTAAGGTATTCATCTGTGGTGTGGGAGACTGGGGTTCAAGTCCCTAATCCAGAGGAGGGTTTGAATCTGGGTCTCTTCCAGTCCAGGTGAGTGTGCTAACCACTGGGCTATGTGCTGTAATGGGGAAAGGCTCTGTCTTGGGTTGTTTGTGTGAAAGGACTGGCGTGTCTTAGGCAGCTAGGGTAAGATGCACAAAAACACTGAGGTACTTAACTGTCTCCTAGACATCACTGACTTTCACAAAATCACTGCTCAGCTGCCACTGAACCATGTAGGCACCTAAATCACTAAAGGCACCTGCATTTCTGCTGGTGGGCATGCCCAAAGCTGACTAAATCCTGACACTGCCCTCACAGCTAACAAGACATTCAGAGCCTAAGCTGCTTCTTTGAGTAGATGCAGCCCTGTATTCCACTTAGGTGTGTGCGTGCCTAGGGCCCTGGAGTCGGAGAACTTTGCTTAGCAATATCTGTAAAGGGGCAGCGCTCACACCTCCTTGCCATAGCCTCTGGCTATATGAGGCGGCACCACCCTGACCCCTTTCATTTCCTTCTTACTGCCTGTGGCTGGAGTCAGAGCTCGGTGTGGTTCTTAACCATGCAATCTCTCACTATCTCTCACTATCTTTTTCTAGTGTTTGTTCTAGTCGCATATAGTTAATACTTAGTGTTAGTTAAATGTAGTGTTAATTACATTTAGTTAAGTATTTCCCTGGTGATGCCTTCACCATGGTTTAAACATTGTTATGTGGGGGGGAGCGATCCCCAACAACAATCCCCACACACTGCTTGCTATGACGGCTATGTCACAGAGCAGTGTGCAATTTCTAGGTCGTTCATGAAAGGGACTCAGCTGGCTAGGGACCTTCGCCTACAGCAGCACCTGCTTGAACAGGCCATGTGGCCTGCTTCAGCACTGAGGACCTCATCAGATTGGAGGTCACCCTCAGGTTCTGAGAGTGCTGCCATTTCATGCTCTGGAGCCAGCGCCTCTCCATAGGGATGGAGGAGTTGTTCCCCATCAAATGCACCGAGGAAAAGGTCACATAAGACCAAACAAGATCACTCCAGGTCTCATGAAAACTCTTCTGCATCCTCCAGAAAGAGTGTGGACCAGCATTGTGTTAATGCCAGCATACGAGAGGGTGTGGGTGCCTCTAACCACTTCCTGATACTGCGCAGAGGGGTCAGAGACCCTCTACCATCGACTCTGATTCTTGAATCCAGTACCGACGAGAGTGATGTTGACACCAGTTGTTTCCATGTCGGCGGCATATCAGGCAGCAACAGACCTCCCTTGCCTTTCCATCCTGACCCCTCCATTGATCCAGGATTTTGCCAAGGCTGTCATTTATAGCCCCATTGCATGAACAGGCCGCTGAACCTTTTGGTCCATTGACACCATACTCCGATGTTCCCCTTCCACAGTCTGTGGAAGCAGGGCTGGTATGGGCTCGGTGCAAGAGACACTGGGAAACTCCTTGGCACCATTGCATTCACACCGCTGATGTTACTGTGGCAGCTCTCACTGCCCTCCACTTTGGAACCATCAGCTACTTCAGTGCCACCACTGACTTTGGGGTCAACACCGCTCCCCCCATCGGGAACAATTTGGCAGTGCTTGGCTCTTCCTCACCTTCAATATATGAGGATTTCAAGGCCTAACAGGACATTTGGCAGTGCATGGCTGCTTCCCTGGGCATTCAGGCAGAGTTCCTGCAGGAGAACGCCATTATGTTGCTGGATATCCTGCAGTTGTCTGCTCCTGGGAGAGTGGCTCCTCTTACTAATGATGCACTCCTAGAGCCTGCAAAGGTTCTTTGGAGAATGCCAGCTTAAGTATCACGTACCACAAAGCACATAAAGAAACGCTGTTTTGTCCCGGTGCAGGGATTTGAGGGCTTTTATTTCCATCTGGACCCAAATTCCTGGTCATAACTGTGGTGAACGATATAGGCTGGCAGGGCAGATTTAAGTCCACTGCTAAGAATGAGGACTCTAAAAGGATGGACTTTATGGGTAGGAAGATTTACATCTCCTCCTCTCTGCAAATGCGGATTGCAAACCAGCAGGCATTGTTGTCCAATTATGAATTTGTAAATTGGATGTCCATGTCTAAGTTTGCAGACCAGCTGTCTGAAACCTCCAGAGAGAAATTTTGGACATTCGTTACCAAAGGCTGCTTGATGGCCAAGACATCATTGCAGTCCATGCTGAACATCATGGACACTTCAGTCAGAGTTGTGGCCTCCACAAGACCATGACAAGGGCATCTTGGCTGCAGAAAATTTGGGCATTGCTCCTGACATGCAGCAGGCTATAGATGATCTGCCCTTCGATGGTTGGGTGCTTTTTTCAGACAAGATGGACGAGACTCAGTACTTCTTCAAGGATTCTAGGGCCACCCTACGTTCCTTGGGTTTGTATGCACTGGCAGTGCAAAGGTGCCACTATGGTCAGCAGCAACAGCAGCAATACTGTCCACAACACACTTATGAGCAGTCTCAGCTTTTCATGGCAGTTTGGATGAGGCTCTTGGGCCACATATCTGTTTGCACGCAGATGGTTCAGTTAGCAAGATTGCGCCTTTACCCCTTCAAATGTGGCTCAGGACGGTTTACCATCTGACTCTTCATTCCTTGGACAGATTGGTCCATCTCCCTCCACTGGTCCTGGACTCCTTGCAGTAGTGGATGCTTCCAGAAAGTATATGTCAGGGCATTCCCTTTGTCCAGCCCCTGCCAACCAGGTCTGTTCTCACTGACATCTCCCTGGTGGGCTGGGGAGCACAGCTGAGGTCACTGAAAATTAAGGTCTGTGGTCAGAGCAGGAGGTGTCACTGCATATCAACATGCTGGAGCTTCAGGCCATCTATAATGCTTGTCCCGCCTTTCTGAACCACATCAGTGGAGCCATCATTTACATATTTACCAACGATACTGCTGTCATGCATTATGTGAACAGACAAGGGGAGCACAATCTTTACTAATTCTGGGTCACTGAAAACGAAAATGATGCTTAAAATAGTTTTCAAGATATGCTATTGGGTCAGTATATACGACCCTTGACTTGGGAATGGCGGAGGATAAGTGAGTTATAAAGGGAAGGGATCTCAATTTAAACCAGAAATGACTAAAATGCATCTTTGACTGGATCTATGAATAG